CGGCACTCCAGCACCTGCTGCCCCAGCTGGACCGCCAGCACCAGGGCCAGGGCGAAGCCAGCTGCCAGCAGCGCCCTCCGCACCGACAGGCGCATGCTGGGCCTGGGGCGGGGGGCGTGCCTCAGCGACAGGTCAGAGGGAGGCCCGCGGGGCTCGCATCTGGGGAGAGAGAGGGACATGCATGCGGTCAGGGAGGCCTGCGGGCTGCAGGTGCCTCGCCATACAGACCCCAGTAACAGCAATGATGGGAGGATGGTGATGTTCCCAGCAGAACAGCTGGATGTGCGCTCACCACGTGCCTGGCGCTGTGCTGGGCACCTCATCCATCTTAACCTGAGACTCTCCAGCAACCCCAGGGCTGAGTGCCATTAGCCCCAAGGGGGCTGGAGCTGCAGGGCCTGGGTTCAAATCCCTCCTGGCCACTTCCTAGCTGTGGGACCTGGCCCAGGTCTGTAATCACTCAATGCCTCAGTTTCCTCGTCTGATAAATGGAAACAGCAATCATTATTTTAAAATGAACTTTACTGGAATCAAGTTCTTGGAAATTACTTAAAATGGAAAATTATAAAGCATGAGAATGTCACATCTCAGCAGCAGAGCCGTGTGCTGAGGACAGTTTCTGCCTGTTTTGTTTACAGCTGTCTCCCCAGCTCCAAGCACAGAGCCCGATACCTACTAGGCGCTCAATAAATACTTCTGGTGTGTGCCTGGACCAAATGCTGGGGGCCTGGCACAGATCAAGGGCTGTGAAATGATTATAGGAGAAAGAGGTGGAAACCAGGGTCTGGAGAGGTGGTTCACAGTCACCCAGTTGGGAAGCGGCCAAGCTGGAGTCTGTGATTCCGACCCTGGACAGCCGGCTCCGTGTCTGCTCTGAGTGACAACACGCTGCCTCTGCAGGAGACGCTTTTCAGAAGGTGCAAAATATCCTGGTCTGGGCTTCTTCGAGAGTCCCAGAATCCATTCATTCAGTCCTCACTCAGTCAATGCTTACAAAGCACTAAAAAGTGCCAGGCACCTGCTCAAGGCTGGAGACAGGAGCATGGACGAGGCAGCCAGGCCTCTGGTGTCAAGGAGCTTATGTCCTAGCTGGGGATACAAATGGTACACAAGTTATAGCCAGAGCGTGATAATGGCTTGCAAAGAAGTGAGCTGCACGCTGTGAGAGGGATCAAGTAGGGGAAGGAGGAGGGAAGTCAAGGAGGACTTCTCAGAGGAGATGACATCCAAGCCGAGAAGGCACTGGCTGAAGATGTATGGGAAAGGTGATGCAGGCAGAGGAAACAGAGTGCAAAACCTCGAGATAGGAGAGGTTTTGGGGTGTTCAAGAACCTGAGAGGAGCCTGCTGGGGACCAAGGGGAGGGAGGGGGAAAGTGGAATGCAGCTGCCAGGCATGTCCTCAGGGGACGGAGAAGGGCTGGACTTACTCTAAAGGCAGCCCCTGAGGAGAGGGCCTGCAGGGGTGAGAATGGAGGTGGGGAGGTCAGGGAGGAGGTTCCTGCTGGCCGGCATCCTGGGGAGACTCAGGGATGCCGGGACTGTGGGGGTGATGTGGGAACAGAGGGAGGGGAGGACTCAGGACAGGAATTATGACCCTGAGCCTACGCTCCTCACCCCTCCCAGTGCCACTAACAAAGATTGGACTTCCATGCAAATTCCTTAGGTAGGGGCTGGTTTCCAACAGCAGGGGTCCACCCAGCCCAGCCACCCCTTCTCCAGTCACTCAAATGTCAGATCTGCCCTCCTCCCTAGTTTACCCTCAAGGCCCCTCCACTACGAAACCTAAGCCCAAAGCAGAAGGTGCAGGCTCAGACGCTGGACGGACACGCAGCCCGCTCGGGCCGCCCCAGCCCTTCTCTGCCCCACCCCGGCTGTTTCACAACCTCTGTTTCCTCTCCTACCTCCTTCTAGACTCAAAGTAAGGGCTTGAGGTCTCTGGGCATTCAAGGAGGCCGACAGGCCTGGGTCTAAATCCCAGCTCTGCGACTTCCTGTGTGGTTGTGTGAGCTTGGGCACAGACTTTCCTTCTCTGAACCTCATCTGTAAAATGGGTCTAAGAGTGTTAACCTCAAAGGGCCATGATGAAAGAATTTAATAATGTACCCAGTACGTAGGAAGCGTGTGAAGGAATATTAGCCATGATCATTGGTTATTGATTTATTCCAACAGTTCATAAGGTCCTACTGTGTGGGGAGAGTTGGGCTATGGAGCTAAGAGACGCAGCCTCAACCCCACCAAGTCTACCCACATAGTGGACCCACACCTGGGAAGGGGCTGCTGGGTTCTAGCTGTGTGGGTGAGCAAAGGCTTCCTGGAGGAGGCAGCCTTCCTGCTGAATCCTGAGCAGTGGACAGGTGGAGCTCTGAATAGCCGGGTGGAAGAAAGAGAGAAGGCTGCTCCCTTTGGAACAGCCAGTGCAAAGTCACAGGCAGGAAAGAATCCAGCACGAATGGGGAGCTGCAAGTGATCCAGTGAAGGGTGCAGGGTCCGGAGCGAAGGGAGTGGAGAGACGGCTTTCCTCTTCAGATGTGAGGTTCAGCCGAAATCTCCAAAGGACCTGGTGTGCAGCTGGACCAATCCACCCACAAAGGCCCGGGCTGCCTGGGGCCTCTGGGGCCGGAGCAAGTGGAAAATAAACATCAAAGCTGAAGACGCGCACAGGCTCAGGCCCAGGGGCGAAGCTGTTGAGAGGCCCTGGCATTTCCTGGCCATGTGGCTTTGGGAGACTCACTTCCTCCATCGAAGCCACAGTTTCCTCAGCTGCAAAGAGGGGTGGGTCCACTGACCTCAAAGGCTGCGGTGAAGGCTCTAGAAGCAACTGACAAAGCAAAGGGGAGTCTCATCCAGGGGTCACTGGCTCCTCTGAGCATCAGATAGCTGGTGCCCTTCTCCCCAGAAATTTGCACCTATCATGTTGCTGAAACTGTTGCCATTTTTCATGGGTGCTCCGGATTTAGGTCTGGGATGGGGAAATCTAATTCCACGGCTACTTTCAGGGGGAAGGCAGGCTGGGCGGGACATACAGTCACTCAGATATCCCTCCAAGGAGCCCTCAGCTTCTCTAAGAGCTCACTGAACTTCTCCCCACGGACCTGAGACTAGAATTCTGCCAAGGATTATGACTTCGGTGTCAATGCCCCTGGGGGACTGTCAATCACACTTTAGCTTGAATTAGCACCATCTCCCTTTCTTCCTGACACTTGGTGGGGAGTGAGAGACTGGAGCATTTGGGAACAGATGGTGATGGGGGATGAGGAGACACAGAGGAAAGGGGATAATCTGGGAAAGTTGTTTCCAGACAGGATAGATAAAGTGTGCCTGCCACTGCCTGCGTGTGTGCGTGTGTGTGCGTGCGTGTGTGTGCATGTATGTGTGTGCGTGTGTGTGTGCGTGTGTGTGTGTACTCCTGAGCTTATGTTTGGGGTTGGAAGTGATCTGGGTACTAAATACTAAGGGGAAAGGCCTGGAAGAAGGGATAGAAAGAATTTTTCAAAACGTTACCAAGACAGGGAGGTAAAGCTTAGTGGTAGAGCGCGTGCTTAGCATGCACCAGGTCCTGGGTTCAGTCCCCAGCACCTCGATTAAAAAAAAAAGTAAACCTAATTACCTACCCCCACCAAAAAAGTAAATAAATAAAAATGTTATCAACTCACAAGTTTTGCTTGAGACTGATCCTTCATTTGGCTACAGGACTTCAAAACCAAGCCCCTGAGTTGCGTTTTTACATTCTCTGAGCATGTACTCTGCTCAAGCTTATTCTAGGCACCACTTAGCGGGCTCCTCTCCACCACCTCGGGTAGGGATGCCCTGCGCCGGCAAGCAGCTCAGAGAGAAGCGGCAACTTGCCCAGGATTGCACAGCCAGAGCGGCAGGCCTGGGTCAGAGCAGGCTGAGGCCAAGCTGGTCACTGTCCTTGGACATGACCCAGCGAGGGGCCCATCTCTGCCACCGGGAGAAAATGACTCAAAGCGGGCAGGTCAGCTGTGAGCAGGAGACAGCAGAGGCCTGGAGAGCGGCTTGAGAAGCAAAAGCAGGGCGACTTGGCAGAGGGAAAGCAGCTGGGAACCTACGAAGCAGAAGGCAGCTTCCTGGTCACCCAGAACCAGAGACTCCACCCGGCCCAGGGACCCGGGCCTGCCCTCCACCCCACCACCCGGCTGGACCGTGCCGAGGGAGATGTCTGGCATCCTGGCAGTGAGGAGGTGGCTGAGAGCCTCAGATTTGGAGCCTTACAGCCCCAGGTGCAAATCCAGCCTCGGCCACCTGTGAGCTGGAGCGCGGGACAAGGGACTTCACCTTGCTGAGTTTCTGTTTTCTCCTCCATAAAAGGGGGATGATAACAACCTTTCCTTGGTGAGCGATGACGGGGTTCAGGGAACTCTGGGGTGAAGTGCTGAGTCAGTGGCACTGGGAGATGCGGCAGACAGGGTCTGGACTCTGGCTGTGCCTTGAATCGGCTCAGTTACGCCAGGTAAGTCCCTGCCAGCTCTGGAACTCAGCCTTCTCCTATCCACCAGGAGAGTCATTTTCCCAGGAGGTGAGGAAGAGCAGAGGCCCGCCCTCTCCACACTCCAGGGGTGCAGCTTTGTCTAGCACAGATTTGGAACAGGGGAGAGAGATGCCCAGAGGAGTTTGCTTGGTGGTCAGTCATGGAGGCTGGGGGCGTGCAGGTGTCTCTGGAGGAGCCGGGACTCTGGGGGACCTTCGAGAAGCACTTACCTCCCCTGGGCACACTCATCCCTGGGCTCTAGCCCTCGCAGCTGCTGGCCAGGACTGTCCACCGGCTGAGCCCTGCAAAGGCAGATGAGATGCTGCATTAGGGTGGGTGCCATGCAGAGGGGCTGGGCCCCTTCAGAGGGGCAGAGGGGGAATGCCTGGCTTCCCAAGGGCACCCGACAGTGCTTTGGGGGGAAAGCACTCTGGGGGATGAACAGCAGCACAGAGACAGGCCACCTCAGCCCATGATGTCACAGCTGGGGTCTAAATTCACGGATTCTGCCAGGGAATGAACTGGCCCACATCTCAGGCAGATAGGTGTGAGATGAGGATCTGAGCAAAGGCACTGCTGCCTTGGGGAGTAGTGGGTCTCTGCCAACCAGGCTCTCCCTTCCTCTTGACCCTGGACTTCAGGAAAAGTAAATATAAGAAGCAACAACCACCACCACTCAATCACTAGTCACCATCTAGGAAGGCTGGTTACATTGAACAGGCTGTGCACTGCCCAACTCCAAAGGGCACCGCGTACCTAGCCTATGATCAAGATGGCGCCCCCCCGGAACTGAACAACACCTTGCCGCCGCCACCTAACACTGACCAAACGCCTACCATGTGACTGCTTGGGCCATTTAACCCCCTACGAGGAAAGCACAATGATCCCAATTTTACAGGTGAGAAAAGGACACCAAGAGGAAGAGCAACCGACTCTGGGAACCAGGATCGCCATCCAGATCTGTGGGACTCTGGTGCTCAGGTCTTAACCGCTGTGTTAGAAGAATGGGGCCATGAGCTCACTGGGGTCTGGTGTGAAGGCTGGCTGATGTGGAATCAAGGGAGTCCTTGTGTACATCTCACTGCTGTGTCCTCACCATTTTGGGGTAGGGGAGTGTGGATTTTTAGTCCAACCCTCACCTTCTCCCATTTTACAGATGGGCAAATTGAGGCTCAGCAGCAGAAATCACTTCAAAGACTCACTCACAGAGTCTCAGGCTCAACGCCCCTCCTCTTAGTCCTATTCCAAGAGGTGGGTGGGGGTGGTTAAGGATGCAGCCCTGGAGTTGGATGACTCCCCGACTACCTAGAGAGTTGCTCTTTTGAGCCTCAGTTTTCCTATTCTGTAAAATGGGCTAATGGGAGGTTTAAGGTAACAGCAAGTACTCAAAAACCTCAGTGATTGTTTTTATTTGTGGTGTGATAGAAATAAACTGGGTGTAGGCTGTTACTCCGTTTCTTTGGTCCTCTCTCCCTTCCTATTTGCTCACTCCTTGCCTCTATACAGGTTTTTTTTCTACCCTTGAAATACCAACCTGATTATAGGACATCTAAACCCAGGAGGAGAAGGGTTCCCACCCCCATCCCTTCTCCCAGCTACGGAATACACGGGGACATGGGTGGCCAATGAAGACAGGCCTGGCTCTTGGAACAAAAAAGAAAAAAAGGCAATTAGGGACCAGAGCACTTAAAGATCTTCCGGAGACAAGATGGCTCAGGCCCAGCCGCCCTCAGGCAGCCCTTGAAATGCCAGAGAGTTCAAGAAGCCTGCCAGCCGGGCAGCTCCCACGGCCCCTTTTCAGGGCGGTGGGACAGAGCTGTCGGCCTTCAGTCACTTACAGCTGCGTGTCCAACAGGGCGCACCAGCCGCAGGTTGGCATTTAGACTTAAGTAAAATTAAATACAATCTACAATTCAGCTCCTTGCTTGCGCTGGTCACGCTGTAGAGCCCAGCCAGGGGTCACAGAGGAGACCAGGGTGGCCACCGCCCTGGACAGTGCTGTCCCTGGAGGGGGGCAGCACACTGTGGCCCATGGGCCACATCCAGCCCTCAGCCTGTTTTGTATGGCCTGCGAGCTAAGCCTGGTTTTCACACTTTGTTTTTAAGGGAAAGAGGAGGAGGAGGGGCTGGGGAGATGCAGCAGCAATCAAAACTCTACGTGTTCCACAAAACCTGAAATATTTACTATCTGGACATTTACAAAGTCTGCGGGCCCCTCTTCTAGAATATTCCCATCATTTGCACAAAGTTCTGTTGGCCCGTGACGACTCAGGAGACAAGGGAGAGGTACAGGGGAGTGGGGAGTGTCAATGAGCCCTCCTTTTCCTGTAGGAGGAACCTCAGCATTTAGTAAGCACCACTGTATATTTAACACCAGACCTGGGCCTTTCCACGCCCTACCTCGTTTCACCCTCACTACAGCCCACTGGCAGGGCAGGGTGGGAGGCAGCACCTTGGTTCTCTAATTGGGGGATGACAAAGGCCCACGTGGGTCCACCACGATGCCGAAAAGTCGACCAACCCAAGCAGCGAACACAAACCACAGGTAAGAAAAAAAGATGAGAAGGGAATAGACTCAAAATGCCACCAGGGATGGCATTCAGGTGGGAGGTGATAATATTTCTCTCCTAAAAACAAACTTTTGTTTTTATCTATATAATAAAACAATAAAATGACCATTAGTTTTTGAATTATATGCCAAGCATAGTAGGGCGTCAGACTGCTCGGGCTCAAATTCCAGCTCTACCAGTTACTGGCTGTGTGACCTTGGCAAGTCACTTAACCTCTCTGAGCCTCAGTTGCCTCATCTGTAAAATGGGGGTGACAGCAATACATGTGGCATCTGGGTACTTGAAATGTGGCCAGTGTAAGTGAGGAACTGGCCTCACAGGAGTACTGGGAAGTGTCAAGAACTTAGGAAATGTTAGAACACCGCCTGGCACACAGCGACTGCTCTTCACTCTTTGGCTTTCATTTTCTCATTTCATCCTCAGCTGAACTTTCTAAGGCAGGGATACTCGTCTCCATTGGATAGATGAGGAGATGGAAGACCCGAAAGTTGACGTGATTCACAGAAGCCCCCCAAAGCGAGTTTCCAAACCGGGCTCTGTCCTCATGATAACATCCTTGGTCTCATGTCACATGGTTCAGAAGATGGGCCCGGCAGGAGAGGATGGTGGGGTGTGGGGGGGCATCACTCTCTCTTTCCCCTGACCCATGGGCTGTCCTGAACGACTGCTGGAAGGGACGGAGGGGGAGCGGCCCCTCGGCCCAGATTCATTCAGTCCACAGATGTTTCTCGAGCATGCTCTACATGCCAGGCAGTGACCAAGTTGCTGGAACACATCCAGGGCAGCACACAAGGGCTCTGCCCTCACGGAGATGACATTCTCGTGGGGAGCAAGGAATCAGCATGTGATAAAGGCTTAGAAGGCCACGCCCGGGATGGGAGAGGAGACAGGCCCTAGGGGGTCAGACTCACGTGAATTTTCTAACTCAGCAGGACTTCCCCAAGCCCAGCAGATCAACGGTCCCAGGACAGGGGAAGGAGGGCCGGAGCATGCCATGCCAGCTCAGGAGGCAGGTCACCGCCCTTACAGAGCAACCAGGGAGGGGGACCCCACGCAAGTGCCAGAGCTCAGCCATCAGCCTTGCAAGCCCTCTCTGTGGGAACCAGCTCCCAAACATTCCATCACCCTGGCAACCACCTACCCTGCTGGGGGGCCCGCTGACCTCACCATCCCAAGCTCTAAACCTCCTGCCCAGAGTCAGGGGTGGGGGTAGGGGTGGACTGGAGTTCTCTTGGGTGGGGTCCCTGGGGATCAGACATCTCTGACCCACTCTAGAGGGCAGCCAGCCAAGAAAAGTCTGCCAGAATCCAGTGGGGCAAGCAGGAGAGGAAACAAAATAATTCCAAGGCTTTAGATGAGGCTTGAGCAAAAAAAGCATGTGGGGCGGTTTAAGAGGAAAAAAGAAAGCAGACTGGCATGCTGCCTTAGAAGTACTAGCCCCCAGTTACCGAGCACGTACTGTACGCCAGGCACTGAGCTAAGGGTTCGAAATGTATCGTTGGATTTTGTCGGCGCTACCCCTCTCCATCACGCCATCTGACACTCCCTTATTAACCGTCTCTTTATTGGGGCTCAGAGAGGCGGGTTCACCTGCCCAAGGCCACACAGCTGGTAAGGAGGCAAGCTAGAATCTCCCTCTCTCTCTCTCCACAGCCCAGGCTCCCAGATCCAGGATCGCCCCTTCCTGGCTACCTATGCATTTTTACCTAAAATGATCAAAGCAGGGCCCCCACATGCCATCCTGCCTCCCCCTCTGAGGCCCAGTTCAGCACATGCTGGGGCTGGGGAGTGATGAGGGAGGGGGTCACGTCACCACCCCCGTACTCAGAGGCTGGGTGTCTTAGGTCAATCCAGCTCTCTGAGCCTCAGTGTTCTCATTTAAGAAATGGGAACAAGATTGGAACAAACAGAGCTGTGAGGAATTCCATAACATCCATCATGCCTAGAACGGATTGCAAAAACATGAGCATTAAATATTCTGATCACTGCCACCAGGCACATGGATGAAGACTGAAAGAACACAAAAACTAAGAAGCCAATGGCCTGGTGAGGTGGGGTCGGCCAACTTCCGTGAAAGACCAGAGAGCCAACAATTTCAGTCCCCTGGGTCCAAGGGTCTGTCGCGGCTACGTCACTCTGCCTGTGTGGCCCAAAAAACAGCCGGAGAGGACACATCAAGGAACGCACGTGGCTGGGTTCCAGTCAAGATCGTAAAAATCAGGTGCCGAGCTCGATGTCCGCTGGCCAGCGAGTCAGGCCCCTGATCCATGGGCGCTCCTCCCTGGAACTTGGACAAACTCACAAAACACAAATGCAGGAGCTGCTGTGGGAGCCAGTATGTACTTGGGTTCTAGACCCCATCTCGGAAGGGCCAGTGGGAGGACTCAGGTGGCCAGCCTTGGGTGAGTGAGAGAAAAGTGGACAACTCAGAAAAACAAACGGTTGATTTTTTTTCAATAAAAGCGCAGGCACACACGGGGAATCAGCCCGTGTCTGGTCTGCCGCCAAGTAACACTTAGGGAGAGAGACCTGTGTGTGCCTGGAGCTTTGACGTATGTTTTGCCTCTAACAACAACCTGGCGGGGGGGAGGTGTTATTATTAGCCCATTTGACAGCGGGGGAAGCTGAGGCTCAGAGAGGTCAAGTGCTCAGCTCAAGGTCACATAGAGAGGAATGAGCGGAAACTGACCTGGAACCCAGATCTGTCTGATGTCAGAAGCCAAGTTCTTAAC